TAAGATCTTGAGTGTACTCTAACCCTATTTGTTTTTTTTTAAAGGGAAAATCCCTTTTAAATCAAGTGATTTTTTTTTATTTTTTTTTTTTTTTCCGGGCCAATTAAAAATTCGGTTTTTATGTGAAATTTTCTTTTGAAAAAAAAAAAAAAAAAAAAAAATCACTTGATTTACAAGTGATATTCCCTTTAAATAGAAACAAATAGGGTTAGAGTACACTCAAGATCTTATGCTTTGACCGAACCAGGCTGTGACGAAGTTGTACCAAGCGCTACAACCGGTGCAAAGCAAAGAGGAACCATATGAGTCTCGACCAGTGTGCAAAAGAAATCAACAAAATCGCTGCTGTACTGATCAACCCTTATGGGATAGATAACAGGTCAGTCAATGTGGACAAGCTGCCTCCGATCTCTATGATCATTGCTCATAAACAGGAAGAGTGCATGGCATGGGGGAGCGTTATGCCTGGAACTCATGGACGCATGCAATCTGTGTTTAAACGAATTTGTAAAGGGCGTGGGACCTCTTCACATAATTTACAAGGTTCTGGTGACTGGCAGAGTAAGTACATGTAGTAACATACACATAGGCTATGTCCGTCTTAGCTTGCAGATAAAAACTACATTAGCTAAGCTAATTTTGCTAGTTCAGCTGTATTACAGCAAATACAACTATTTATATTAGTATTACTGAGAGGATGTAGAGTACTCAAAAAAAAAATTAAATAAAAAAATAGTGGTCGAGTAATATTTGTAGTGTACTTATATTGTTTTCAAATTAGATAGGAAGAGAGGAGAGCTAATTCTGAGCCTGCGGAATGTTTCTTGTTGTCTTAGCAACTCCATAGCAACTGCCTTCCAAAAAGACTGTCAGTTACGAAGTCTGGGGAAGTGACAACTACAGGATTATTTTGTTTGTAAACACAGGGAAATATTCAACTGCCAAAGAACCGTTTGACCGAACGAGGCCAGCAATGAGACGGTTTCGGGCAAAAATAACGCTGAACTCAACAAATTGTAAACAACAAAAAATTCAAACTTCACACAGAAACATTAAGATAGAACCCTGAATAACACATTTAGACAGTTTATCAGCAAAAAAAAAAAAAAAAAAAAAAAAAAAAAAAAATTTTTTTGGGGGTCGATTTTA